TTGTATTTATTGCTTCCATTTCCCACCCTCTTCTCAATTTACAATTTACCTTCCAAGCCCACCATTGAACTTAAATTTTGGTTATTGGTACTCCTTTAAAGGCCAGATTTGAAGGCCTCTTCTCATTGCTTATCCTCCTTGACATCTACCACTTTTGACACTGTAGACCATCCCTTCTATTGGATTTTCTTTTCCCTTGTCTTCTATCACATTGCTGTCATCTTGGTTTTTGTCTTATTGTCTCATTGGTCCTTTGCAGTCTCCTTTGCTGAATAACAACAACAATAAACAATAATAATAAGCTAGTATTAGAATAGCTCCTAAGGCTCTATGCTAGACTCTTTACTAATATTATCTTATTTGAGCTTCACAGCAACCCTGAGTTAGGTGCTCTTATTATCCCCATTTTATAGTTGAGGAAACTGTGGCAAACAAAAGCGATTGTGACTTAACCAAGTCACTCAGCTAGTAAATGTCTGAGACAGGATTTGAACTCAGGTCTTCCTGACTCCAGGCCCAGTGCACCACCTAGCTGCTAATGTATCATAATTATTTCTTGCCCACCAAGCTTAGATGGTTACCAAAGCTCTACCTTAGGCCCTCTTCCATTTTCTCTCTGTTCTCTTTCTCTTGTTGGTCTAATTACCTCCATGGATTCAATTGTCTTCTCTATCCAGATGGCTTCCAAAACTATATATCCAATCCCAGTCTATCTTCTAAACTTGACTGCCTGCTGGCCATCTTTCCTACATATCTCATGGGCATCTCAGACTCAGCTTGCTTAAACAGAACTCATTTGTCTAATTCCTTTAAGCCCCATCTTCTTCCAAAATTCCTCATTTCTGTTAAGAGCTCAGTTTGTCAAGATTTACAACCTAAGAATCATCCTTGACCTTTCACTCTCCCTTCCCATATCCAGTCATTTACCAAGGCTTATAGATTCTACCTCCTCAATATCCCCCACTTGTCCCCTTCCCTCCACTTATGCAGCTTTCCTTGTTCAGACCCTTGTTACCTCACCCTGGACTGTTGCAATAGCTTCCTAATTGATCTGCTTGCTTCTGGTTTCTCCCCTTGCATTTCATTCTCCACACAACTGCAAATTAATATTCCTAAGACAGCCCCCTGCTCAGAAGTTAGTACCCTCTTGCCTTCGTCATAAAATGCACATTCCTCAGCCTGACTTTTAAAGCCTTCTACAGACTAGATTGTGCCTATTCTACTCATTTCGTACCCCTGCTCCCTCCCGCTTATGTACCCTCCATTCCAGCCAGACTGACTTGGCAGCAGTAGATTCTTTGAACTTAACATTTTAACTTCCATCTCTGTGTCTCTGTACAGATTATCCTCCATACCAGAGTGCGCTTCCTCTCTTACATCCTTAGGATTTGTAGGTTCTTTCAGGCTCACTTAGGTGCTGCCTTCTATGGGAGGCCCCACCTCCCACCCCACCTTATGTTCCTACATATTCCCTGAGTAGAATATGAATTCCTTCAGCAAAGAAATGATTTTGTTTTTATCTTGTATCTCATTCACATAGTAAGCATTTTCATAAACGTTGTGAATTAATAAAATTGGGCCATCCCAACTATTATTTGTGTAGTGTTAGGAGTTAAATCTTTGAAATCATTCCTTTAGCAAGCATAATTCATTTAAAATTATAAGCAGTAATAGGAAATGATTTTGTAATAATCAGTTTTATTCAAGTGAGGGAAGCAACTTTGCTCAGGGGAGTGAGCCCTGTACGTAAAGTCAAGAAGACATGAGTTTGAACCTTGTTTAGATATATAGCAGCTACATGACCTTGGCACATAACCTCTTTCAGCCTCAGTTCTTACATCTGTAAAATGAGAAGAAGAATAATACCTACTTCATTAGGCCTTTCACAAATGAGATCATATAACTTTCATTGTTAGCATTCCATCTGTTGCCTGAAATGTACACCCTCCTCCAGACCACTTTTTAAAACCCCTATCTTCTTTCAAGGATCTCAATTCAGGTGCTACATCTTATAGATGACTTTCTAGATTCCCTTAGTTATTAGTGTTTTCTACCACTTAAAATTATCATATATTTACTTAGCTGTGTAAATGTTATACCTACTTCCCATTAGAGTATAATCTCCTTGAAGGTAGAGACTTGTTAATTTTGTCTTTGTGTCAGCCCCTAACACAGTGTCTTACATATAGTAAGCACTGGTAAGTCCTTGATGAATAGTGCATCCTGATGTTTTATACCAGCTGTGTTTTTGAATGAGGAAGTTGTTTTTCTTTTCTTCTCATAACTAGTCTCCTGCAAATATGCCTTAAAACCTGTACTTAAAATTTTTCTCATAGCTTGATCAATTTAACATACGTACCATAGTATAACCCTAGTACGGAAATAGATGTTCCTTCAATAGAGGTTCTGACTTTTTCCCTTTTCCTCTGGTTCTGAGTCTCATCTTTTTCTGATTTATGGTCAAAGTTTAGGGGATATGGGGCTATTACATTGGAGAAAAAATATTTAAAAAAGAAGAAATCATAACTTTTAAAATATTTTAAGCTGCATAGTTTGCTTATATCCAGATGATACAGAATAATGTTTATCCTCATCAACTGAGTTGAATTGGGTTGACAGATTTAGAGTTGGAAGGGATCTTGAGCTTAGTCTAGGCCAACTCCCTCATTTCACGGATGAGAAAACAGAGGCTGAGAGAAGCTTAGTTATTTACTCGTGCAGGTGGCAGTAGCACACAGCAGTCAGATCTCAAAGGCAGTGCTCGGGGCTTCCAAGTGTGGTTTTCAAGGAAATAGAATAAATACCACTGAGTTAGTTGCTACTAACCAATGTGTTACAACTTTTAAAAGTCCTATCTTGGGAATAACATTAAATGGTTTAAGGCTTCAGTTTTCAGGTATAATATTTTAAGGATATGTGAGGTCATCATTTGTTTGGGTACTTATTATCCTTTCTGCTCTAGCAGATTTTATAAGTTGGTGTGACCAAAAACATTCATAACATTATATCCAACCACATGATACATGAATATCCATCACCCAACCTGTAATCAAAGCTGTTCTAGATTGTTATAGAATCTTCTAGTACTTGTACTTTGCTGGCATTGTTTTTTGAGAGCCTAAGATTAGTCAACAAACCTTTATTAAATACCTGCTGTGTGCCCTCGTACACTGTGCGACGTGTTGGGTATACAAAGAAAAGCAAAAGCAGTCTCTGCTTCCATTGAGCTCACAGTCTAATGAAGGAGACAATGCAAATAAAAATTTACAGAATAAATTGGAAATGAACACAGGGAAGGCACTAGAATGAAGGAGGATCAGGAAAGGCTTCTTGCAGAAAGTAGAACTTTAGCAGAGATTTGAAAGGAGCCAGGGAAGTCAGATGAGAGACAGAGAGTAACCTTCTTGTCATGCTGAATCATTACAGTTATTTATTGATGGATCCACCATAATGTTGTCCAGTTACTCTGATGATGTATCTGGGCCCTTATAGGGCTGAGAATTAGTGAGTCTCTGACTTGATTGTTGCATGATTCTTATTGCACAATTACAGCGGGCAATCTCAAAAGCTTCACTAGAGTTCATACTTCTTATACTGCACGAGGTGAGGGAGTTGTTCAATCTTTGGGAAATATTGAATTAATTGAGCTACCAATTTCAGTTATTTGGTAAATACTAAGTTCCAGTTATTGAAAGTACCATGCAGAGGATACAAAGAAATATGAGGCAAAGACCCTGCCCTCAGGAAACTTATAATCTGTTTGGGATGGGGACAAGACATACACATGTGAGATTAGTAACCAACACATAAAGTGGTAAATGAATTGCCAGATGAATATTCAAGTGTCCACCTTATCTTGTCTTTATTGAAATAAATGCAAATGTTATCTATATTTGCTTCATTCTAATGTCAGATCCGGAGGCATTTCTGAATGTGATGACATCTTTGTTCACAAGTAGAAACAAAATGTCATAATAAGCTTGAGATATTCATCTTTCAGTGAATCCAGAGTTAGTTTGAATATATAGAAAGACCTCATTATTCATTCCTAAGGGTCATTAACAACAATTAAATGCTGAACAACAGAGTCAAAAGAGTCATCCCCTAGCAGCAGGTGGGAAGATAAGGGTTTTTCCTTGTAGATGCTAGAGGACGAATGTTCTTGTCCTAGGACAGAGAATTAGTGAGACAGCAAGGAAGGATTTGCCATTTACTATATACAGTGAGAATTCCAGGTCCCATGTGTATATACGTACTCATATTTAAAACATTGTAGTTCAACTGTAGAAAGTATTCTGTTCAAATGAAAGTTTAGATTATATTTTAATGGTAATTTTTTTATCTCTAGAAAGTTGGACACTCTTAATTTGATTTCTGTTTATGTTAGTAAAGGCTCTGGTATCATTGAGTTTTTGGTTTTTACAGAACTGCCTTTAAATAGCCAAGTCAAAATAAATTTTAAACATGGCTTCATTATAAAAGTTTATTTAACAGTTTGAAGACTTAAGGTTTTGTGGGGTTTTTTTAAGATTTTTGGGTCTATACATGATATTTAAGGCTTATTTTAAATATTAGCTTAATTCTAAATTAGTTTTGATAAGATTGGAATGCTTTCAGACTTAACTCTTTTCTTTATGGCCTTGCCATCTAATGTAGCAAATCAAAACCCAATTTTAAATTGCATAACTCTAGGGGCAGCTAGGTGGCACAATAGATACAGCTCTGGCCTTGGAGTGAGGAGGACCTGAGTTCAAATGCAACCTCAGACACTTGACACTTACTAGCTGTGTGACCCTGGGCAAGTCACTTGACCCCTTTTGCTGTGCCCCCCCCAAAAAGCATAATTCTTACTATTGTCCAAGAAATTTCATTGGTGTTTCATTAACCAAAGAAGTGATTATATATTGGACTTATCTGTGGTGTATCTGTGTGTTGTGGGTTTTTGTTTTTCCTTTTCAGAAATTGGGCATAATTATTATAGTATGTGTTTTAATTTTCAGAGATTAAAAGCTGCTTTGACTCAGCAACATCCTCAGGTAACAAATGGAGATGCAGTCAAGGGACATGCAAGTGGATTGGGTAGGACTCAGTCAGAGGAATCTCGAGCACAGTCATTACAACAACCTGCTACATCCACTACAGAAACTCCGGTATACTTAACCAGACAATCACTATTACTGTTTATCATGTATTATGTTATGATGCTGCTGTCCCCTTTTTTCTTTTCTTATAAACAAATTTTTAAGGGCTAACTTGTTATAGTACATGTCCCTACCAAATGTGTCTTTAAAGATACTTCTGAAGTTTTCATGTTCTGTGGCTTTAAAGTATAGTGAAAGTTCTAGGGAAAGACAGAACAAAAATATTTATGGTAAATTGTCAGCAAACACCCGTCACACACACATGTGCTTCCATACACACTCATTTTTTTTAAAGTATTAGTAAAATTCCTTTGTTTCTTGAATACCCATAGTACACTGGCCTGTTTTCTCCGTGTGTGTCTTTTTTTTCTATATCTGTAAGTCTGTCTTTGTCACTAAAAAAAGATTTTTTAAATTAATTGAAAATGTCAGCTTAATATGAAGCAGCATATGTATATATCATATGTGTATATACTTAGAGATAGACAAAGCAATAATAATTTTGTTAACAAGTGAATCTGGACTTTGGTGAAACATATAAACTAAAAGGATCAACATTCACCTAAGTCAGTTAAGAGAGATATACCAGGTATTATTACCAGGGAGTTCAAGAGGAAGTGATAAATCTTTGGCCCTGAGTAGTAGAGAGCCATTTGCAATTATGGCCTGAAATTTTAGGGCTAGAATCTCTTTTAGGTAGTTATTTATTTCTAAATTTTAATTTAACTACATGAATTTTAGTTTGGGCTATCTTCTGCTAAGATAGCAGGATTTTAATTTGTATACTTGGCTATCAGTTGATTCTTTCAGCCCTTCCTGGGACCTGTTTTTCAGGAAACAAGTGTTCTGTTTCCTACCACTTGAGCTTATTCTCCTAATAGTCACAGTATTCTGTAGTATTGTTTGTGTGAAAGGACTGATGTTGTATCTTACATTGTAGCTCTGCAGTTGGGTCATGACATTGGTGAGGAGCTTCTCTCTAGACCAGAGGTTCTTAACCTGAGGTTCATGAATTTGTTTTGTGTTGTTTTACAAAATATTTTGAGAAGTATAGTATAATCAATTTTCTTTGTAATCCAGTGTATCTTATTTTATGCATTTAAAAATACTTTGGAAAGGGGGTAGGTTTTACCAGACTACCAAAGAACCCATGTCCCCCAAAAAAAGGTTAATAACCCCTGTTCTAGAAAGAAGATCAGTGAGGATTGGATGATCTGATCTCTACGAAAAGAGTAATTCTACGTCCTTAATAAATCTCACCACCAAAATATGTAAATATTTATACTTACAACATCAATATGCATTTATCATATATAGCTACTAAGCATCAAACACTGTTCTAGGTGCTAGACCTACAAATAAAAAGAATGAAACAGTTCTCACTCTCAGGTAGCTTGTGTTCAGTTGGGGGAGAGTGAAAGGGGGAGGTGATTATATATACAGGGTGTCCCAAAAGTCTTAGTGCAGTTGTAAGCCATTAATTAATCTTTAAAATTGCACTAAGATTTTTGGACACTCCATATGAACACATACAGAATAAATGGAAAGATAAGAACTAAATGAATACAAGATAGTTTGCAATTTAGAGTGCTACCGCTTAGGGAGATTAATATCATGTTGGTGCTTGAGCTGAGTCATGAAGAAAATAAGGGATTCCTTGACACTTAAGTAAGTTAAAAGTTCATTCCAGGCACAGGGGATAGTCAGTGCAAAGTCATGAAGATCAGTTGAAATATGCGTGTTTAACTTGGTTGAAGAGTATGTCTTGAAAGATAGGTAGAGGCCAGGTTGTGAAGGACTTTAAAGCTAAACAGAGGAGTTTACATTTTTGTCTTAGAGGCAATAAGAAGCTGTTGGAGTTTGAGCATGGGAATGACATAATCATATTACATATGACCGAATATCACATACTGAATTTGAATAAGATTTATATATCCTTCAGTTAGTGGTTTCTAATCATAAACTGATAAAACTTTTATAGTAATACGTCAAAGAACAAATACTATAACAAAACCTGTTTAAAGCATGTGTAAAGAAATTGGGATTATGTGAAGAAAATTACTTTTTACTATATTATACATACTTTAATTAAAGGTGACATTTGCACCATTACCCTGAAAACCATTTATGATATTCTTATTAATATATAAATCATAAATCAGATTATATTCTTGCAAATAAAATCATGTAGCTAAAGCCTGATAACCAGTTTTTAGCCCTGGCCCTTTGTATCAGAATTGTATGATGGTAGTCCACTTGATGATGTAACGAATTTCTATTAACTCTTTCACTAAGTACAAATAAATATATTTTTTTTTCTTACAGGCTTCTCCAGCTCACCCAGCACCACAGACACAAAATACAGGTGGGCGTAGAAGAAGAGCAGCTAATGAAGACCCTGATGAAAAAAGGAGGAAGTTTCTAGAGCGAAATAGAGCAGCTGCTTCAAGGTGCCGGCAAAAAAGGAAAGTCTGGGTTCAGTCTTTGGAGAAGAAAGCAGAAGACTTGAGTTCATTGAATGGCCAATTGCAGGTATGGTTTATACAGACATTTTACCACTGTAAACAAAGTATTTCAGATTTTGTAGTTAGCTATCCAAACATCATAGGAAATAAACTTTGGTTGTATTTTGGACCTGTAGTAAATAATAGCTTTAAAAAACTTATATTAGAGATGAAATGATTTATGTCTTTTAAAATAGCATCCAAACTATTCTTGTAAAAAGGGAACACTGATAGATAAAATAAAAACAATGTTTAGCTATTTAGGAAAAAGGGGTCCCCATCCTGGCCAGAAACTTCTTTTTAAGGTTGTGATATAAATTAATTTTTAAATTAAAATAACATTATTACTCCTAGACATTTTTGTCTTTTTTTCTTTTGGTTTGTATCACAACTATGAAATTGCTTCAGTAGAGGTTTCTTGTTTTTAAGTTCCTTTGTTCTTTTAACTGTAGTTTGTTTTTTGTTTTCTTTAAAGTGAATATAGTGCTCGTGAAAGGTGCCAGATTGACAGCACTGGAAACTGAAGGCCTCTATTTATCCACAGACCAGGTACAATACGGCCAGTGGCAGTGCAAGCTTCCGACACTGCCCTGCCATGTGCCTCAGCTCCATTTCTGAGAGACCCATTGCGGTGCAAGCTTGTCTAGTTCCCATCCTTGTCTAGTTTTTTATTTCTATATACAGACTGCCAATAAGGGTGCCATTCAGTACCATTTCTTTTTAGTGATCTTTTTAGTGCTGTGGATACTTCTCCACCTAGGAACCTATGTGTAAACTACCCCATTATATCAAATCAGACATGTTAGTAAAGGGCTTTAATTATTAATAATGTAGCTTGAATTTAGAATCATTTAATATCAATAAAAATTTTTTAGTTTGCCCAGTTCATTCCCAATTTAAAACAAATCTTTCATATGCTTATACTTAACTGAGAATTTTTTCGTCTTATACCTGCCTTTCAAGATTTTTAGTGATATGCTTATTTTTGAGTATTTGAATAAAATTTTCAGCATCATAGATGGTATATAGTTATGATAGTTTAAAAAGAAAGGAAATCTTATGACCTGGACTTAATTTACATGAGGTAAACTTCGTTTAAAGTCTTTTTGATGTAGGCAGTTTGGAATATTATTATTGTACCTTTGGATCTACAAAGTATTTTGCTAGTGTTTTTTAATATTTATAACATTTTTAAATGTATTGCTACAATACTGATCATAAGGACTTCTAGTAGTTGCTTAAATACCAAGTTACATTAATATGTTTTGTTATATGGAGTAAATTAATAGAAATTATTTGGGGAAATGAGACCTAATCTAAATTAATACTTTTAAAAAAACTTAAATATAAGGCTTTAGGGGGAAAAGCTTCATTGAAAGAAACAAGATGTTTGTAGGTGGTAAACTATTAATACAATGTGCTATAAAGGCACTCTGTAAAATAATTTAAATATTAAGTGATTATTCTGATATTAGTGATTATAATTTTTAAGTTAAAAATGATGTAAATTAATTTTTCATTTTGCCCCTCTCTAACATAAAATCATCCACCTGAATTTTTGTTTAGTATTTAATTCACTTGGTCTTGCGGCTGTGCCAGCTTTCTGCTTCAAGCACTATTTATGGCAGCATTAACAACTTTTAATGAGATATTGATGTATCCTTAATTACACTGCAGCACTAGTGGCCACTGCTGTAATATCAAAAGAGCTTTATTGTTTTTAGAAAAGAAGTTAGAGGATCCAACATTCAAAATAAATGTATTACTTGGTTTTCAGTAAGCTAAGATTCACATATTTAAAAAATACTTTTGTCAGATTTGGATAGGTTATCTTGGTAAGGGGCACCAAGAAATAGGGGAGAGAACAGTTTTAACCTCCTTTCTCACATAGTTTGATGACTAATCTCTGCAGCTGAATAAATGTTAGACATGCAATACAAACAAAAGAAAAAAATGGTGAGGGGAGAGACTCAGATCTGTGATCTCCTCGATATAGAAAAGTGCCTCTAGCAATGCAGATGAGTTTTTCTTCTGCAACTTTTCTGTGTTAAAAGAATTGCCTGGGCCACTGATAGAATAATTGACATGCTCAAGGTCATATAGCCGATCTATCTCAGATGTGAGACTTGAACCTAGGTCTTCCTTACTTTAAGACTTAGCTGTCTTTCCATTGTGCCACACTGCCTCTCACAAAAAAAGTTAGTAATACAAGAAATATTAATTGAGAAAAAGTAAGTAGTAGACTTTGACTTCCAGGGCATAAAGAGTTAACATGCTTGTCGTAGATTCAGGGGGAAAGAAATTTCTTTCAGTCTGCCGACAGCAAAACCGTTAACTGTGAAGAACAGAATGACTTGTAAAGAAAATTGAATGTCAAAGAAATAATTAAATTGTAGTTTATGTGAAAACATTAATCAATCCTGCATTTCCTTAATAATTCTTCACTTGACATGCTGGCATAGCTGATCAGCATTGTGGGCAGTAATGACCCATGATTGCTTATATGTTGTATTCAATAGTAAATCTAGTAAGTTTTGAGGTGTGACTTTTCATATTTTAAGAGACTTGCATTTTAAGGTTTAATAGCTAATGTTTTCTTTAATACCTGTCTAACTGATCTGTAGTTTAGCATGTTTCAACTTTCTTAAATGGGGTATATAACAGATAACTTTTGTGTTTTTAACAAATTTTTTTTTTATCGTCAAAGTATTATTAGTGATCTAGAACCAAGCCTTGAGTACTCTTAGTTATAAATTGTTGTTAATTTGTTAAAGGCAGCATGCCCATTGTTCATTACCCTTTGCCTGAATTGAATCTTAAAAATTTCCCCTTGTAGGAAATTACTTTTAATATTATTTAAATTTTATTGTTGCCTTTTGTTTTTACACCAGTTATATCTTTTTGATCCTCCTCTGCCTTAACTAGACAGTGAACCCTTACCTGTAGCAAAAAACATTTACAAAAAGCTAAAAGATGCAGTGACCACATCATACCACATTCCATATCTATAGCTGCATATGTCTCCTGAAAGGAAGGAGGTATATTTTATTATCAGTCCTCCAGGGCTGAATTTATGGGACTGTTGTTATTATAGTTCATTTTCATGTTTTTAAATAATTGCCCATTGTTAATTTAGGCAAATAACTTGATCTTCCTGGGCCTCTGTTTCATCTCCTAAAGGATGGGGTTAAACTAGAGAGTCTCTAAGATCCTTTCTAGCTCTAACTCTATGATCCTCTCACTTGGTTTGTTGTCTGCTTTAAGTTTTCATTATGTCCCAGTTATAGGCAAAATAGCAGTATCTTCCTTTTATTAAAATTAGTTTCCTTATATTGTGCTCATGATTAAAATATTGTGAATGTGCACCATGTTAAGCTTTTTAAAGTTGAGGTCCTGCTTAAAGTTGTATGGGATCTAGACCTACTTATGCCCAGCACATTGATTTAAAGAAAAAAAAGAAAGAAAAAGCAGGGCGGAATTTAGTAGGTGGGTTAAGACAGAACTAAGTTGGGTGGGATTTTTCTTCCCCATTTTTCTTTTGGTATGAATGATTAGCACTTTTCTTTCACACTAGTATGTGAAACAGATTTAATTTGTGTTTCTTAATCTTCTGTGGCAAGGATTAAGATCAGATTATTCCTGTCAGACTAGACATTTTTAAATTTCAGTGGGAAGGAATCAGAACAGCTGGCAATGCCATTAAAACATATTTGCATTGGCTCTTGAAGAGTATTTCTATGTGCCTACTACTGACTTGAAGTTTATTCAGTTTGGTTTTTCTTTGGTACACCTCACCAGTCATATTTTTTCTTTGAAAAGAGGCTTACTCTCTATATACTTATGAATTATATATTGTATTTCTATTTCAAGTAACTATTTAAATTTAAATTATTTAAAGTATTTAAAGTAATTATTTTAAATCTTGCATTATTACTGGTTGAATTTAGAAGCATAGACTTTTAGAACTGGAAGGTCCTTAGGGCAGGGAACATGGCATAGTGGAAAGAATATTGCTCTTTATGTAAAAAGAACCAGGTTCAAGTCCTGGCCCTCCAATTAATAGTGGTTTGCCCTGGGCAGTTCATTTAGCTTCTCTGAGTTTCTGTTTCCTCATCTTGTGCAAAAGGGATAATGCTGCTTGTGCTATATACCTCACAGAATTGTCGGCAGAAAAGTTCTTTGTAAGCATTAAAGCATCATATAAGCATATGCGGCTATTATCATCTAGTAACCCCTCCCATCCTTATTTTACAGATAAGGAAACTGAGGCCCAGAAAGGTAAAAGTCACACACAGCTAGTTAGTGGCATGACTGACAACCAAGACTCCTATCTGAAGTGCCCAGACTGTGCCATGTTGCTGTATATTCTGTTGACGTGCTGAATGAAAGTTGTATAACTTTATGAAGGATCTCATTATTCTTTTTTTCCTAATGTTTAGCTGTATAATTTAGATATTCTCTATTATCAGGCGTAAGATTTTATTTCAGTTGCAACTTTTATGAATTGTGCCCACTGATTAGTTTGTTTTTTGTTTTGTTTTGTTTTGGTGAGGCAGTTGGGGTTAAGTGACTTGCCCAGAGTCACACAGGTAGTAAGTGTTAAGTGTCAGGTCCTCCTGACTCCAGGGCCAGTGCTCTATCCACTGTGCCACCTAGCTGCCCCCTACTGATTAGTTTGCAAAGAAAAATTGTTATATAATAATTGTGATCAGCAATAACTGTGAAGCAGCAATACAAGGAATAAATTACTCAAAGGGGGGGAAAAAAACGCATCCATGATTAGTTCTCAAGTTTTTAAAGTAGCGATAGACTGGAAAGTCATAGATGACTGGTTAATGAAATACCTGGCCATTAGACCATGGCCATGCAGAGTAAATTGATTAGTTATTCTTGGCGTGATTTCATCAGATTGAGGCTTATTCAGATGAACAGTATAAAGAATGTCTTTACATGATCCAGCAATATATATTCAACTTTTAATTATCCACAGTAATGGAGGGGAGCAATGGTGTAGAGAATCCAGAAATAATTTGTACTTGACTTTGTACTTTTTTACCATCTCTCCAAGTTTTAACTTCCTGATTATGTTTTGTTTAGGTCAGTAATGATTTTTGATCAGTTTTATGTAGCAGTCTTTACTTTTCCAAATGTTTTCACATCCATTATCTGGAAATTAGTGTGCGATCTCCATTGATTGAGAGTAATGTGACAGCCAGAAATGGACTAGGAATAAGAAAAAGGGATTATATTAGTTCGTGAGTTATGGAGCTATTTTCAAATGGTGACAGAGATTTTTGTACAGTCCATGGTTTCCATTTCCATAGTTTTCAGGAACTCTCTGTATTTCTCTTGACGTATTCCTCTGTGATCTGAAGTAACCTTGACTATTTTCATCTTCTTTGTGATTGGTGTTCACTTAAGGAAAAGTAGAAATTATTTTATACCAAATATACACCTTCACTGAGGCAACAGCATCAGTGAAGGTGTTACAGTTAGTACTCATCTAGCATTAAGTGCTTGCTACATACTAGTCACTGTAGCTAGTATTTATCTTGTAGAATTGTTTTATCCACTAGTACGTTGAAGCTAGTAATTTATGATTGGGTAATAACTGGTTAACTGAGTTATTTACTATTCTTGCCTTACCACTCGCCAGGAACTGCTTTTCTCCACTCCCTTTTGCTGAGGAGTGCTGGACTTAGAGTTGGGCATTGACATTTACTCCCAGGGTGCCCCTGGACAAGCTCTTTAAACTCCTTGACCCCAGTTTCTTCATCAGATGAGTCGAACCAGATGACCTCTAAATCTGTGTTCCTCTGTTGTGTCCCCACCAATTCTAGCTCTGCCTCTTAACTACATGACCATGGGCAAGTCATTTAAACTCCTTGAGCCCCAGTTATTGCCCCATTAATAAAATGGGGATGATAATAATACTTAAATTGACTGCCTCCTAATGTTTCTGCAAGAATAAGATGAGCTATTATTTATCCCTAAATAATTCTCTCTGACACTTTTGTTTCCAATAATGCTACTCTTCTCGGCTTTATAATTCCTTTATCCCACTGGTTTTCCACTGTCCCTAAGCTTCTTTGTCTTTATCTTTGAACTCACCTGACTTATCTTATGTCCAAGCCTCACTAACTCTTCAGAACATGATTAACAACATATAAGAAAGTATTCAAATATAGTTTTTAAAAGTAACAATTTTTAGTACAGGCCTTCTTTTAATCAAAAGCTCCTTTAGTGTCTTGGGGTCATTATAAAATAAATTATTTTAGAGGTGGACATTGTAGAAGATTGAGCCGCAGTTGTCCTAAATGTCCTAAATGTATGACGTACCCAAAAATTAATTTTTGAATGAATCTCAATATTAGCTTTTATACTTGTCATTAGCATCTTGGGAATAGGTATAAGAAAAAATGCAGAGGATTTAGAGTTAATTTAATTTGAGTTTTCTAAAATGTGAATATGTGGTGTGTGTGTGTGTATACACAGATTTTTATGCTACGTTCTGATTTTTGTAGTTATTATTAAGGGAGGTGGGGTACTGCAGACGTTTAGGGGTTTTTTCCTGGCATTTTCCTATTATTTATAACACTAGGTTTTAACTTGCATTACAGTTAACAAAAGTTAGACCTTTTTGTAGGAAGTATTGGCAAGAAGAATGAAGTTTAAAGCTTTGGAAGCTTAAAACCTGTTTAGCAGTCTCTATTAATCATTGGAAAGTTCACATTTGGTTGTTTATTCATAAACAAGTAGTTTGAATTAAATGAACAGTGATGATACAGTGGTTGATTTTAAAGCACAAAAATGATGTTCTTTTTTTTCCTTTTTTTATTATAAATTTATTTATTTTTAGTTTTCAATATTTACTTCCACAAGATTTTCAGTTCCAAAATTTCAGCCCGTCTCATCCCTCCCACCACCCCAGGATGGCATGCACTCTGAATATCCCTTCCCCTAGTCTGTCCTCTCTTCTGTCTCTCCCCCCCTTCTCTTATCCCCTTCCCCTTCTGTTTTCCTGTAGGGCAGGATAGACTTCTGTACCCCATTTCCTGTATTATTTCCCAGTAGCACGTGAAAACAAAAAATGATGTTCTTATCATTGTTTTAAAACTCTTATTGTAGTGGATTTAAATGCCCATCTTTAGTTTGGCAGTATAAGGGAATTTATGATTTTGATTGGATAGTATAGAAATGTTTGTTTAGGAAAAAACAGAATTATCACTTAATCAACTTTTAGTCATGATTACTAGTAGTTATCCTGTATCTTAACTTGTCTCCCACATTCAGTTTGTGGTAAATGTTCGTATCATTGTATTTGGAGGAGAAAACAATGTAGGTTGTAATAATTGGTTTTAATTGTAATCTTATAAAATAATATTGTGGTGTTTTTTTTTAAACCATTCACTTAAACTCAGGCATGTGCTGCTTTGGTATATGTTTAACAACTATCTTCCTGAGAAAAGAAATGTATCCATGATACACTTTTAAGTTTAACCTACGTTATTAATATTCTCTCTTTGCTTTCTTACATCTAAACAATCAACAAAGCAATAAATTGACCCCTGGTTTGTAGCATTTACCAATTTCCAAGTGTAAATGATCACCCTGAGTTTAACAGTTGCCTCAGTTTGAGCTCGCTCCAGTACATCCCTGCTTAAACTCTTCCCCATATTATTTTCCTAACCATAAAACCCATTAGTATAGCAAAGTTGGTGAGGTCTCTGATGCAGATAATGAAATGGGAACCCAGTTTCCCATTATTTGCACTCTTTCAGGTACCTTCTTTGGCTCCCTTATTCTCTGGATATCTGGTCATTATGGCCTTGTATATGGGAACATTTTCAACTGCTATTTCAGAGACGTAAGCATTAATGGGAAAGTCTTGGTAAAGCTCTTTAAGAAAAAAATCACATAACATGTCAGCTGTTGAATTAACTCTTGATTTATTTACATATAGATCCTCACATGTTGGGGCAGCTTGATCCTTCCAGTCAGGTCTCAGGATCAAACTGGCAGAGAGTCAGGATCAGGTACAAAGAGGTGTGTGAGTGGGTGTATGTATGTGTGAAAGAGAGAGAAAATGGTTTTTGGAAATATTTTGGACTTTTTATGCCACTACTGACTTTCATTAGTATAGGTACTAATAAAGAGTTGACATTAGTTATACTGTAACCACCTGTTTTATTTGGTGTTTTCAGAGAATGATGTGCTTCACATAAATGAATTTGATAACTGATTTACTGTATTAAACGCCAAAACTTAGAAATTTTTCTTCAAAATATTAAGTATATCTGTGTTTCATCTCAGAGTATTCTGAACTTAATCTAATGTTTTTGATAACTTAAGGTTATCATTATGAATATAACCTATTGGACTGTGTTGTAACAGCAATGCCTTTGGAATTTATTTAGGTCTATAGAACTGTCTTCTCCCATACTATATGGCCTGAGATGGCTTGGCTTTTCCCATTCTTGTGTGTCAACCTTTTATAGTTCTAATGTCTCTTCCCCCTGCTGTCTCTTGTTACTTTTCTTGTCTGTGAGCCTTCTGCTGCCTTTGTTTTTATATTAACTGTCCCTTCTAGGGAAAGCCCATAAAGTTTAGGGGTAGTCATTTGCCATTCAAGAAGTATTTTTTGGCTTACTGGTTCCAGGTTCATAGTTTTGAATGGTTCAGGTTGCTAGAAGGCTAATATCCAAATAAATGAGACATAACTATAATTGGAATTACTGTCTTTGTGTCCACATCATTGCTAATTATGTACTATTGGTAAGTAGCAGCTACTCATTTATATAGGATCTAGTATTTGAATGGTGGTATTAAGAAAAGGAGTGTTAACACTTGGATCAGAGTAAGGCACTCCCAGAGATACTGGTATTCATGACCCATAGGAGGTACTCTGCTGTATTGAAGAACTTCAGTGAGTGGGACAGAAATCAGCATTGGTTTATCCGTTTTAGATTTAGAACTATTTAGATGTTTCAGATGTTCATGTGTTGTTTATACATGGTATCTTTCTAGTTTCTAGATTGCTTATCTGAGGTTTCAGGATTTAGCATGCTAATTTTAATCTTTAAGATGATTGCATATTTTCCTTTGTAATTGAAAGAATGTGGTTTGTTTTCGTTTTTTGTTTTTTTTTACCTAGGAACTCAGAATGTAAATACATCGCTGAAATGTCCAAATATAGACTCAGAAAAATTAATGGAAGGGTTAAAATGGAAGATAAAATACATTGAAAATGGATGGGCACTATAAGCTCTTGAGGCATTTTAGTCAAGGCCTCCAGAAACGTGGACAAGAAATATTTCTCTTAAAATTGTACCTAGAACAATCTTTCTAATATTATCTTTTTAATGCCCATATATTATCTTCTGTAAAAGTTAGTTTTTCAGACTTGTTTTATTTGCTCATTGTGTCTTTATCACTTAAAGTCTTAAAATGAAGGTGAATAAATTTTAGTGCAGTTTGGTTGAAGGAAAGCCTCCAGAAGCCACAAACCATTGTGAGAGTGACCTATAGAAAGGAAATTTGACGTCTGCAAATTTAGAAGTATAGTTAGTGCATGGCCATGGCCGTATCATAATTTATAAACTTTGCAAAGTTTTTGCATGTGTAAATACAAAAACTAATTGTGCTAATTAAGTATTTAGGTAACATATTCCTAGATGAGTTGGTTGAAGTTGTCCAACTTTTAAGATATTAATACCAGCTTGCTTTAAATAGTAAAATGTGTGTTTAGTTTGAGTCTGGTAAGGCATACAAGTTGTTTCTTCATCTCCAGAGTGAAGTCACCCTGCTGAGAAATGAAGTAGCACAGCTGAAGCAGCTTCTTCTGGCTCATAAAGATTGCCCCGTGACCGCCATGCAGAAGAAATCTGGCTATCATGGTGAGTAATGTCCCATTACCCACAGCCTGAGGCTGCATCAGTGAAATACTGCCAGTGAGAACTGAGCTAGCATGAAAAACATGGAAACGGCACTTGCAGGATTGAAGATTAAATACCAGGATTTCTACAAGGTTGTTGCAGAACAGGATCCTGTCTGTAGTAATTTAAACCTAGTTTTCTAAATGCCCCTAACTATAGATTTTCTTCAGTTTTCTATGGGCATCATCTTGTATGGTTGTGGTTTTCTGTAGATAAATGAAGCTTCCCAATAATTTTCACAATATTGAAAATACTAAAAATATGTGCCTCTTTTCAGGTCAGTACGTTTTCCTAGATTGGCTAAGTGAAAGATCACCCCTTCCTCCCCAATTCTCTAATGACTAAGTGACTAGTGGGGAGCAGCTGTCCTTACTTAACAGTATGTCGAAGATCAGCGAGTTTTTTAAAAAGAGTCCATCTCAGCTCCTTCTCTGTCCTCTATTAGATTCCTTGAATGTTTACTGTATTCCGCATTGTAAACTTTGAAGCTTTTCCTTAGTTACACAAATAGAGAATTAAAAAGCAGCAGTTTATCCTGTTGAGAGAAAAAGCATTTACAAGAAACGCTTTAGTTTTTGTGCTCGGCATTTTAAAGGTTAATTTTGCTTTTCCTTTTGAAACTTCCTTTTTTGGGAGATAAGACGCACAATGTTAGAACCAGCTGCCGCTGTTGAATAAATGGCCAATTTTGTCCATCGTACACAAATTTGTAACAAATAACAGAGCTGGGAATGCATTAGGCAACATTCATAATATATAACCCACAGCTTTTGTTTTTATAATTTAGTGATATTTCAGGATATTTGTAAATGTGAAGCTTGTTTCTGCCATATGTATCCACTTCATTTTAATTTGCCAATGTCAGTAATTCAGAAGAAAAGAAACATTTTCTATTGCGTGCAAACAGTTCCTCAGGTGCTTGCGATAAAACTTAATGGCCACCATCTTTACTTGTAGTCATTGTAAGCAGTTTCATCAGAATGGGCAATATTTTTTAATTTAAAAGATTCAAGAGATTTAGCAACTCTCTGTTGCCATATATATTTAGAACACTGATTTTTGTCAGTTTTGAGCACATAAATCTCAGTCTTTTGATATCTAGTCATTTTGACAGAATAGAAAATCACATTGTGAAGTAAATTGGAACCATATAGAAATATGTTTGGGATTTATATTAACAATGATTGCTGCAGGGATGAGGCCATTATAGCTCCCATCTGACAGAAGAAAATAATTTCATATAGAACCTGCTGGGGATGACATTATACATACATGATTTTTCTAACAAGTGAGGTTTTCTTGAGTTTTGATAATTTGAAAGGAAATGTATTCTTACTTCGGTCTTACATGAATATCCTACAAAGTCAGGAAATTAACTAATAACTTTAAAATTGCCAACCCTCAATTTTTTTGTTGTTCACTTGTTTCAGTCTCGTGTCCAACTCTTTGTAACCCTATTTGGGGTTTTCTTGGCAGACATGTTGGAGGGTTTGCCATTTCCTTCTCAAGCTCATTTTGTAGATGAGGAATTGAGGCAGACAGGGTTAAGGGACTTGTCCAGGGTCACACAGCTGGTGAGTTTTTGAGGCTGATTTTGAATTCAGGTCTTCCTGACTCCAGGCCTGGCGCCCTATCCACTGGGCCTCCTAGCTGGCTAACCCTTAGTTATCAGCAGCAAATTTTTGTTCCTCTTCTATCTCTCTGTAAAGTAAGTACATTTTCAGCCAGTCAGTTTCTTGTTCCTAGGAAATGCATCCAAGACTAAATAAAATAAGTGTTTGAACAGCTAAATGAACAAGAACTGAATGCATAAAATAGTAGACCATTTGATAGGGAATTTAAGAGAAGAATAAGATTATTATTTGTTGCTTGGGATTATCCATACTATTGTTCCCTTCCTTCCTCTCAATGTCAGTTATCAAGAGTTGACTGAAATCAAATATCTTGACAATGTTAATTTTAATCTTTAGGTTTGGGAATGTAACTGGATTAAGTGTCCTCAGATATTGTCAATAGTACATAAAGGTCCAATTTCCCGAAGGGTGAAAAGTGGTAAAGAGATAAACGAATTACAGAAATGAAGGGCTTGTTTATATTTTGGAGAAAATGAAGGAAATTATTAGGTACTTAACACAAATTTTTAATGTGGACAACTATTGCAACTGATAAATATCATGGCATTAAAGTAAGTAGGTTGTATACTATTGTTTGTATTTATAGCAACTAAATTAACTTCTTAGAATATATTTGTGAATAAAAAGCATTATAATCAAAGGTGCTAGCTAGAATTTGTCCACTAGCACTTGGTAGAATTTGGTGTATGGTACAAACCTTTGTCAGTGAAAGCTAGTGTATAAAAATATAGTGAGACAGAATAAAGAATAATCGAAAAGAACAATGATATGAAAAACCGAAGAGGAAAGTGATCTCATGTGACTATAAAACATGCTCTCCATATTTGGGCAATGCTAAAAACGTTTGTAAAAAAAACAAATTGCACCTAGTGATTATAATTGTTGTGTTATTTTAAAATATATACAGTTATAGGCATGACAGTTCATGGGGTATTGGAATGATCAAAGAATAGAAGATATTGTTTTTTTAAAATCTTGAAGCAAAACATACTTTTACCATAAGCAAAGTTCAAAACAGCAGTGAAACAAGATCCCATGCAGTTATTATTTTTCCTGAGGTTTCTTATCCTGTCACTTAACTCTTAGGCCTTGTATCTGTGATTGTTAATATTGTTCATTTTCTCCTCTCACATTCTAGAATTGACAATACTAGTAGATGCAATTAAATATAAATTTAATATGCAAATTTTGCTATTAGGAATTTTCTGAATCATTATCCTGTACCTAAAGACTGTGAACTTTGAGGTCTCCTAGATACATTTAAATATGCTTTCATTATTTGTTCATTTTGAAGTATTCCTTCCAAAATATGTTTTTTTCCTATGCCCTTTATCTCAAATCAGCCTCATTGTTTAGTCTTTTTTTTTTTTTGGGTGAGGCAGTTGGAGTTAAGTGACTTGCCCAGGGTCACACAGCTAGTAAGTGTCTAGTGTCTGGTCTGAGACTGGGTTTGAACTCAGGTCCTCCTGCTTCCAGGGTCGGTGCTCTATCTACTGCGCCACCTAGCTGCCCCAGTCTCATTGTCTCTAAAAGCCACTATATTTGCCTGTCTTGCCATAGAATATTGAGGCAGAGGAAATGAAGCTACATTATAGTTGAATGTCCTGTTTGAACTGTCTTTGTTCTTCCTTTGCATAGTTACTCTGTTGTGTCAAATGATCTCTAAATCTGAGGTTTAGAGGTCCCTTCCCACCCTAAGTCTGTGATAATCAATAATCTTTTTTTGAATTGTGAATATTTTGCACCTTTAAAGTATATGATATCATGAGAAAATTGTCAAGATTCCTGCATATTTTGGGACCAGGTTCCCCCTCTCACCCTACACCCCAATAAAAATACTTTGGCTCGTTTTTTGTATTTTTTTTTAAATTAAAGTAGATGAAGGTTGAAGGGTTTTAGAATCCTGATTAACATTGATTTACCGTGAGTCCAAAAGAATAAAGATGAAACATATCACTTAACTCTTGACAGAGAGAGGTGATGATCTTAAAATGAAGAGACAAGCATTTTCAGACATGGCCAGTGTGGGAATTTCTTTTTACTAGATTGTGAAGCTGTGTATTGGGGGCTTTATTTTTTTAGGTTTGGAAGTTTTCTTGTTTGGGGTTTTTTTTGTTTTTATTTATTGATGTAGTGGTTTGTTTCTCAGTGGAGCCTGGAGTAGCGGAGGGGACAGATTAATAAAATAAAATTTTAAAGAAGCGGTGAGGGGTGGTGGAGTGGGCAGGTGGGTGGTGGCACAGTGGATAGAACACCAGCACTGGAGTCAGGAGGACCTGAGTTCAAATCCAGTCTTAGACCAGACACTTGACACTTACTAGCTGAATGACCTTAGGCAAGTCACTTAACCCCAATTGCCTCGCCAAAGCAAAAAAAAAAATAAGAAATAAAAAGAGCAGGGGGGAAGGAGATGCAAGAAAATCCAGAAATGACTATTCTAGTTAAACTGCATCAACTTGTAAATTGGTTTTTTTTTGGAGGTAGTCAGTGGTAAGTGACTTGTGTAGGGTCACACAGCTAGTGTTCTGAGGCTGGATTTGAACTCAGGTCTTCTTGAATCCAGAACCAGTGCTCTATCTACTGCTTGCTTTCTCAACTTTCTCTGCCACCTTGCTTTCTCAACTTTACTTTTTCATTTTTAAAAGAAAGTAGATAAGGAAAATGGGGTTTTATTTATATATATGTATGTGTGTGTGTATATACATACATATATATAAATATACATATATATGCATATATGTAAATTAATCCCAAGTGTTATCTTCTGTGGAATATATCTTTTATAAGTAGTTCCAAATGTCTTTTTTAAATTTTCTAAAGAAAAAATACTTTATTTCTGAATAAATCTGCCGGTGGAGAGTTCAAAGTTCACCAGAACTCTATTTTCAAACTGTCCCTCCCTTGCAAAAGAAACCTCAGGCCTGATGCCTATAAGTGATGCTGCTGCCAGCTAGTATGACCTTCCATTTCTTCACGTTGTAGCCTTTTCAGATAAAATATGAACTCCTGTGTTTGGGGTGTAAAACCCATTGACAGCCTGACCTCTGCTACCACATACCTTTCAAGGCTTATTATGTATTACTTCCCCTTTTAAATGCTGTACTCTAGTCACCTGACTGACTTGTTCCCTCACACACAACATTCTAGTTTCTGTCTCCATTCCTAAAATTCCCTCCTCCCTTCTACTTCTTCAAATCCCTGAGTTACTTTAAACTTCCGCTCAGGTATCCGATGGCTAGTGGCTCTCCTAACCTGCAAATTAACTTGTATTTATTCTGTATATATTCGCATTTACTTTTATGTGTTGTTTCCACTTGGTAGAATGTAAGCTTCCTTGAGGGCTCTGCAATGCCTGGCACATAAAAAAATCTCGTGTTTTTTTTTTTTTGCTAGGCAGTGGTGTTAAGGGACTTGCCCAGGGTCACACAGCTACACATAAAAAAAATCTTTAAAATGCTTTTACTGTGTTATAAAGTAAATAAAGGGTTACTGGGGAAGGGGATGTAGTATAAGAAAAATGAAGTGGACCGTTTTTTAAGGCCCCTTACAAGTCTAACATCCTGTGATTTTAATTCTACTAATGAACATTTACTCTAGGTAAGCAGATGACTGTATATTTGCCTACCTTGTATAAAATGATTTAGTATTGCTTTTCACAGCTAAATTTTTAATTTAAAAAATACTGGTTTTCATTCTGCTAAAGGAATAACAAACGTATTGTCTGGACAGCAAACTTTTAGATAGACTTTTTTGAATTTCTGTTCTATTGCAGTATCTGGATCTCTAATGTGGATTTTGAAAAAAAATCTAAATTCACATAACTAACAGCTGGTGGCATTTAGACTCTAAATATTGCTTATTCTCATGTGTATGCATCATTAGAATCAGGTGTTGTAATCATCCATTGCTGCAGTAGGTGGAAAGTCAGCCAAAATCACTACACTTCTTTTTTTTTTAATTTTTTTTTTTTTGTGAGGCAGTTGGGGCTAAGTGACTTGCCCAGAGTCACACAGCTAGTAAGTGTTATGTATCTGAGGCTGGATTTGAACTCAGGTCCTCCTGACTCCAAGGCAAGAGCTCTATACACTGCACCTAGCTGCCCCAAAATCACTGCAGTTCTAAAAATGCAGAGGGAATAATTTGAAAACTTATATCTCATATGTAATAGCCTATTGTGGTGTCTTTTTGCTGTGTAATAAATAGTTTTATCTTAAAAGCAACAAATGTGTGTATACATAGAACTAAGCATAACTGTTTTCTACCTAGTAAACTGATAAGTAGAAATGTTGATAAGGGGTTTTAAAAGACATGTTTTGGCAACCTGCTCCCCCCCTTTAAAAAAAAAAAACCCATCTGCAAATATTCCTGGAGCCTGTACTCTGTGAAAAAGCACTATGTAGTGCTCCTTCATCTCCACACTTTACAGGGTTGTTTTGAAGAAAGCAGTGTTTTTAGACCTTAAAACACGATATGAATGAGAGTTATTATTTGTTACATTTGTGCCTTTCAGTTGGCCATTGAAGGCACTATCGACTGCTGGGGGAGTGGGGGGATTGCCCCGTTTACATTATTTCAGTGTGTCACATCTGCTCCTAGATAATCAACAATTCATCAGATGCCTGTTCTACAATCATCTTTCAGCACAGTGGCCCATCATGTATAAGATAACCTTGCCATTGTTTCATTTGAGAAAAATAAATGCTTTCTAATTTTCTTCTCAGCTGCTGATAAAGATGATAGTTCAGAAGACATTTCCGTGCCAAGTAGCCCCCATCCTGAAGCGATACAGCACAGTTCCGTCAGCACTTCCAATGGAGTGAGTTCAACTTCCAAGGCAGAAGCTGTAGCCACTTCAGTCCTTACCCAGATGGCGGACCAGAGTACAGAGCCAGCACTTTCACAGATTGTAATGGCTCCTCCTTCTCAATCACAGCCCTCAGGAAGTTGATTAAAAATCTCGATTGCAAGAGTTTTAGATATTAATGACTTTAAAGGGAAATCAAGGAAAGACCAGTCTCCCTTTAGGAGAAATCTGTAGTTGTAAAAATTATTAATTTTTTTAAAAATTGAAATTAAATTTGGCTCTAAAGATTGAGATATGGGCAAATGAAGATAAGACTGAGCAAGTTTCTAGTCTCTGTGGAAAAGACTTTTTTTTCCTTTTTTTATAAATATTGTTAGATTTAATAGTTCTTTTCTGTGCTCAGTGTGTAAAGTGTGTGTATAGTACAATGTGATTTATTTCACTTTTAAGTTGATGTTATTATTTTAACAAATATGGGGATATTACTGAATCTCCCTTCCCACTTCCCTGTTCCTCCCTAACTATCCTTTACCCCTCAGCTGTGATGGTAGTATTGTTATGTCATTTATACCAAAGTTCTGCATAGTCCCTACTGACTTTGTGATATTAACAAGGTCATAAAGCACTAGGCAAGAGAAAGATAGTAACGGTGAATTTGCTTTTAATCTTTTTGCCTTTTTTTATTTTGCACATTGTGAGAGGAAGAACCGTGGGAGAAAACATTTGCTTTATATCATATTGTGGGGCTTTATTTGGCTTTTAAACTTTTTTTTAATGTTAGTGTGGTATAAGACATACAGTACCTTTTATGCACATTCTTACTAGATCAGGGTCAGTAGTAAAACGAAAAAAGGTGGGGGTTTTTTGTTTTGTTTTGTTTTTAAAGAAATTAAATTGATGTTAGTACGTCAACCTTTATCATTTCAAATCCAAATAAAAGTGTGCAGTTACCCTACTTTGTGAGGCTAAAAGACAGTAAACACATAGTGTATAATACAGGGTTATCAGATATCTAAAAATTTTCAAAATTAACTTGACTTTTTGTGAATTTCAAGTTGCAAACTGAGGAGTTGATGCATAATCAAGTATGGTATGATCACCAGAAAAACCTAAAGTGACTACACTAGACCACTCAAAGCTTTTTTTTGTCATAGTCTTGTACTTGCAAGCTAACTTGTACTTAATCTTGTGAAAGCACTGTCATCTTTTAGTAGCAAATTTTGATACCTTTCTCGTGGAAAAATCAGTATCTATCTTGAAAACAATGTAATTATAATGTGGAGTGTATGCGTGGGTGTGGGTGTGCGCTCGTATGGATGGTTCACTAGTTTATGCCGGCAGTCTTTGCTTGAGTGTTTAAAGATGCCTTCAGTGTGATGCTGGCTAGTAGATGATTGCAGTTTAGAATGTTGTTTCCTGTGCGGACTTGGATAACTAACATTCCATGGTGTCCTCTGTTTCTGATGAGATGATTGGAGGGACAGTTTTCTCATTATCCAATCATCCACAGGATATTGAGTTTTCTAAATGTGCCATTATCTATTCTTATTCTGCACTTATGTTCAAAATACAGTACAATATTTTACAATAGACTAAATTGTTAAAAAACAAAAACAAAAACAAAAATTAGTAGGTGTATGCTTTCAGGTAAGCAAACTTTGTAAAATAGCTATAAAGCATACCCAGTAGCAACTTCTGGCGTTCAGGCAGGATTCCATTATGTAAATATGACGTGGGTATCTGTAATGCTTCTGTAATAAGCTGTGTAGTTTGTTCTTCCTTCTACATGCTACACTGTCTGCTTGACTGACATTTTAAAAACCTGTATGGAGTGTCCTTGATGATTCTAGGAAAAGAATATGCTTTATATAGTATCCAGTCTTTCTAAGGTCAAAACTACAAAGCATCCAAATTATCTGAATGCCACTTTGGGACTTTTAAATGTAAAGATAATAGCAATTCTAAATATGTGGCCTATTAAAAATAATTTTAGTTGGCAATCCAGCGTCTAAAATCTTTGGTTTTAGCTGATTTCGTAGTTACAGTTTAGTCAGTGAAAGTAATTTCTCAATAATAATTCTGCCACAGATATGCAGAGAAGGAATTGATCTCAAAGGCACAAAATGTGAATTCTGCAAGAAAGTTATATAATTACTATTTTTTATCATTTTTGGTGGGTTAGGTAAAGCCTCATTGGTTCACTCTCCTGAATGCTTCAAAGCATTTTTCTTTTTATTTATAAGTTTTTTGGTCATAGAACTCTCACAACTGTAAAATAAAACGACATAGATGTAAGGAGATATGTAAACAATTACTGTACTTTACTGAGGTTAGCAGAATTTTCATTATAAAGCAATCTGTATTCAGCAAAATGAAAAACATTATTAGTTGTACAAATTCTGTTTTGACTTTAAGTATGTCACACTACTTCTGTAATTAACATTTGGAGTCTTTACATTTGAAATGTTTCACAAACTGTACTGTTTTCTTTTACATGCAGTTTGCATGAGTAAATCATCAGAGAATAAAGTCTATCTTTAAATTACATTCATAAGTTGGTTGCTGTTCTCTCTTCTTACACAGGGACATCAGCAGTTACCTTTTTTTTTTAAAGAGCATTTCTTATCATTGGAAACTCAAATATTGGTCTTTATCTTTTAACTTTTCTTTTTCTGCTTCTTTACACCTAGTGCCTAGTATTCAAACAGCACTCTCATACTCATTGTTTTCAAAAACTACCCCAAGTCACTCTGATGCAGGCACTGACAGCCATCAGGCACTTCTTAACTCTCATCTCTCTCTCCTCTCCCCCCCCCAAGCCCCCAATACTCACACATCTTTCATCTTTTCTCCTCTTCATCCACAGACACCCGGCTTTCTTGCCATTGCTGGGGGTCAACATTCTACCCCCTCCTGCTCCTGTAACATGGAAAGGAAAAGATGGTGGAAACTTGGCACAATATTTTTTAAAGATTTATAGTCTTTAAAGTTATTAGGTGCATAAAAGGCTAAACTTAGTCTCTTAGTACAAATTTAGTCAGATGAGTCATTTCCTGACTACTGTCCTAATGTAATATCTCCTTTTCACCGTAATATAGAAAGTGTTGCCCTTTTTCCTTGAATGGTGTTTTTGATGCCATATATTGAATTGATAAATGCTAGGCACTGACTATTCTAGAAGTAAAAGAGAAATGCATTTAAAATGTCATGAATCACTGTGAAGTGTGAATAAGGGATGAAGAACTTGTGAGGAACGGACTTATTGACCACTGATTGAAATGGAGGAAGGTGTACATTGCTTGGGAAAAGAATATCATACCTTACTAACATTTATAAAAGCTAGCTTGGTGACAGCTAGGTGGAGCAGGAGATAGAGCACTGGCCCTGGAGTCAGGAGGACCTGAGTTCAAATCCAGCCTCAGATACTTGACACTGGCTGTGTGACCCTGGGTAAGTCACTTAACCCTATTGCCTCACCTTCCCCCCCCAAAAAAAAAATAAAGCTAGCATGAATATTAAAATATTTCAGTCACTTCTTTATTTTAGTAGTAAGTACACAGAAGCCCAACTTTACATGTGGGTCATTCCTCTAGGACCGTATTATGGGTATCATCTCATAAGTTCAATTATGTTTGTAAAATTTGTTCAGTAATTCATACCCCTTTGAATTGAGTCTAACATGGACCCCCTTATACCAGTTTAAGCTATTTATGGAATAGTGATATTAAAATAAGACTGTGGTCTTCTTTGGGTGAAATTTTATCCACTCAGGTGAAATTTGACAGAGAAGTTCTCAGTGATTAGTTTAAAGAGTAGAATTAATGTTTTAGGCTAGAGTGTCAGGAAACAACATTTGATCACTCAAATGAACCATCCTTGGGTAGTATGGAGGGAGCTGTCAAGAATACATAGTTATCTCAAGGATATCACACCATGACCAGATAGTATTTATACCAGGAATGCAGGGCTGGTTCAATATCAAAACTATCAGCATAAGTGACCATATCAACAGCAAAACTAACAAATCATATGATTATCTCAGCAGATGCAGAAAAAGCATTTGACAAACTACAACATCCATTCCTATTAAAAACACTAGAGAGCATAGGAATAAATGGAGTCTTCCTTAAAATGATAGCATCTATCAAAAACCATCAGCAAGCATTATATGTAATGAGGATAAGCTAGATGCATGTCCAATAAGATCAGGGTGAAACAAGGATGTCCATTATCACCACTGTTATTCAATATTGTGCTAGAAATGTTAGCTGTAGCAATCAGAGAAGAAAAAGAAATTGAAGGAGTTAGAATAGGCAAAGAAGAAACAAAGCTGTCACTCTTTGAAGGTGATATTATGGTATACTTAGAGAATCCTAGAAAGTCGAATAAAAAATTACTTGAAATAATAAATAAATTTAGCAGAGTTGCAGAATATAAAATAAACCCACACAAATCATCAGCATTTCTGTGTATTACTAACAAAACCAAACAGCAAGAGATAAATTCCATTTAAAATTACTGTAGACATTATAAAATATTTGGGAGTCTACTTGCCAAAACAAAACCAGGAACTACATGAACACAATTACAAAACACTTTTCACACAAAGTCAGATCTAAATAATTGGAAAAGAATCCATAGTTAGTCTATTTTAAAATACTTTTAAGTGAGATTAATCCTTTGAAATTATTTACTATTTATTTTTGTCATGGAAATAAAGAGAATTCTTTAACAAAATAAAGCCCAGTAATTTAAGTGATTTTATTTTTTTTTAAATTTTTTATTTTTTTCAGGCAATTGGGGTTAAGTGACTTGCCCAGGGTCACACAGCTAGGAAGGGTCAAGTGTTTGGTCTGAGGCCAGATTTGAACTCAGGTCTTCCTGAATACAGGGCTGGTGCTCTGTCCACTGCGCCACCTACCTACCCCTAATAAGTGATTTTAAAACAATGTTTTTCTCACTTAAATAATGTTGAACTGCTTTTCAGTATTCCAACTTCAATAAGACTTGACAAAAAGTTGTTTTTAAAATTCCTGAGGGAAAAATGCTGAAAAACATTTCATATGCTTTTTTTTTTCCATTCGTATATGTCCTAGGTATATGAAAAAATCTGAAGGAAACTGATCTGGCAGAATTTTACCTTCTGAAATATTTTCATAGATTATCATCTTGACCACACAATAATGATATTTGCAACTAGAAGCAAGTGAAATGATCCCCCCCTTTTTTTGTTTGTTCATTTGTTTCCCAGAATCACATGTATCAGACGTAGAAAGAATTTCGAAGGCTGTCTAATTCAGATATACGATATACAAGACAAGTTGTCAGTCATCTTTGCTTGAATTCTTTCAGAGAGAAGAACCCACTCCCTCCTGAGGTAGGCTATTCCAGGCCTTTGTCTCCTTACGTTAAGCCTCAATTTGACTTTTTGCAATTTCATCCCAGTATGGATTTTCTGAGGTCCGTGTGTAAATATTTGGTCATGCCTCGTTGCTCACTCTTACTGACTTTGCCTGAAAATGATAGGATTGTAGATTTAGATCTGGAAGGGGCCCTACAGTCATCTAGTCAAACCCCACCTTTTTTATAGAAAAGTAAGCAGACGTCAGAAGAAGTTGTTTCCAAGGTCACAAAGGTAGCAGATTCTGGATTCTAACTCAGATCCTCCAACATCAAACCCAACAGTCTTTACAGTCTCATTCTCTTAGCCCTGGAACATATTCTAAAAGATAGCTTTCTTTTGTCATCGCTGCCTCGCTTTTATTTATACCTCATTTGCAGTCATTTTGCAATTTTCATATTAATTACACCAATTGATCACAAATGAGACAGGCAAGGTAGCATTGGCCCCATTTTTTTTCATTCATTCGTTCATTTATTCATTCAATATACATTAGACCTCCACTCCTTTGCATACAACTGTGTAAACTGTGGGAGACATAAAAACTTCGATGAGCACATAGTGCCAGCCTTCATCAATCTTAGCAGTTAAGGAGTTGGATAAAACACCAAAACAGGTAACTAAGATATACACCATTATACAATAAATTCTCAAGTGCCATTGTAGCTTACTTACACAATGCATTGTATACTGAGGTAATAGAGACTGAATGTGGGGGTTCTACTCTCATTGCTAATTAGAACAGGACACTGTTTTATGGAAATGGAAAGATCTGGAAGCATTTTAAAAGTCTGTTGTCCTGCTTCCGTCGAGTAAAGCTCCCAGAATCATCTGGTTTAGCTAGATGTCAAACCAAGGCCTCTACATTTTTTTCAGCTTCTTTTTCTGTTATGTGAATTGATACTGCTGAATCAAGTTTCTCACCTCCTTAACATTTTTAAAATTAACTAGCCCTATAGAAACTAATTATTGACAAAATAACAGGATCATGTATGTCAACCACAAGGCCATGCAATGAATTGGTACTTATTAATGTTTACTGAATTAGATTGACTCCATCAATGTATAGGTTTGTGTGTATCTGCACATAAAAATCTAGAGACTCAGATTTTTTTACATTCATAATTAAATGTAAACATGGTTTCCTTCTAACTTATCTATGGTAAGGTTTCCCTATGCACATTGTGGTACCTGATGCCAGACCCTCAGAATTCATATACAAATGAGAGCTATAAACGTTCTGTACAGGAAAAACAACTTGGAGAGCTGGTGGACTGCCTATAGCCAATGCAAAAATCACACAAAATGTTAAAAAATAAAATACAGAAGCATCACAGTAGTAGAGTGCCAGAAACCCAGCAATAATCTTACCAGTTGTAGAATTGCTGAATCACAAACTAAATTCAGGAAATAAATTGAATGAAGAATGACTCCAATCTGTGAATTTTTCTCCCATTACATCAAAAATACAAAATTAAATCTCTTGTTCAGAACCCTGAGGTTGGTGTGTAAATATTTGGTCATGCCTCCTTGAAAGACCCCGTAACTAACCATTGGAATTTCAAGTAAGCCAAGAAATGTATGTTGGTAAGCCAAACCTCTGATTTGAGAATTAATGGTAATAGGAATATTGGCAAATGTAAGCTTGAAAAAGACCCATTTTCTACTAATTGGGTGCATCAATAATCTGATCAATAGGCTTCAACCTTTCAGCTCATTTTGAAATACCATGTCAATGGCTTTCTGACTAAGAAGAAAATACTCTGTATTTCTAGCATGTCCTTGAATTATCCGTATTGTGCTGTTATCATCTCTCTTCCCCAAAATTTCTCTTAGTTACATGTATATCTTAATTTCATAATACTTTATGATTTGGGGATTCAGACTTTTTCTATTCAAAGACATAATTTGCTCTGTATTATCTCATACATTTTAATAATTATGAGAAGACCTTTTTGATGCTTAGTTTTCTAATTTATTTTAATAATATTCTAATGGTATCATAATTAAATGAAGGTTGACATAGTGAATCATTTTTTGTATTAGGTTCCATTTCCTCTAAAGGTTATACAGAAGGAAGACTATCTTTTTTAGCAGATTTCTTCTTAAATAAGCAATTTCAGCCTAAAGAAATAATTTAAGTAAA